GGGGGGGGGGGTGATTGTGTAGAGTGCTGGGAGGTATTTAGAACTCAGTGAAAATCTAGTTCACCTCCAGTCCCTAGGTCCTTTAAAAAGTTTTCCTGACCCCCATGACCCTAACCCTCTTACCACCAACAGGCCCAGCCCCAGTCACTGACATCTGCTACCCAGGCAAGCTGGAGCTGAGGGGCCCCATTCCTGGACTCCTTTCTCTGTCTTTCCCCATCTGTTTCTCTTCCCCATCCTTATCTCTCTCTGTCCTGCCTTTCTCTCTCTCTCTCCCACTCTGGCCCCCCTGACAAGCCCCACCTCCCCACCCCCAACCAGCAATCCAGGGCTTGGGCAGCAGCAGGAGAAGGGAGAATGGGCTGGGTGGAGGACTGGAGCCCTAGGGAACTCCTGGCAGCTGTCAACTTCATGAGGCAGGAACTGCTTGGATTGGGGGTGGGGGAGTGCTGGGACTGAGGGAGCTCTCTGACCATTCCTCTCCTGCCCCCAGGAGGGGCCTGTCTGAGCCAAAAGCAAACCCCAGCCCTGGCCTCGGCAACCCAGGCGTGATGGACGGAGCCCAGGAGACTGGAGTGGAAGGGTGGGAGGGAGCACCTGTCGAGAGGCAGCGTTAGGTGGGGGAGGCATGTGGGACAGAGAAAGTCCCAGACACCCATCTACGGACACCAGCAGAGAAACAGGCATGAAGAGCCAGGAGATGCAAATCTACTCTCTGCATCCTGCCCCCCAAGTATGGAAGGACAGATGCTTCCCGGGTCCCAGCCAGATCTGAGGAGTGAGGGTAGGAGGGGAAGAGTGAGGGGGAGGGGCCTGGGTGGGGGGCTGCGGGATCCCTCGTTAACACTCGCTCAAGTCTCCCCTCAGAGAGGTACCCCACTGAGTTAGGAAATTTTCAGAGGCAGTTCCTGTTAACGAGCCAATTAAGTTGGGCCAGTGGCCTCTTAATTAGACTTGTTAACACCACTAGGACGGCAGGGGGTAGGGATCCCCCTATGTCACCAGCCACCCCCTTGCCTCCATCGCCGCCCCCTCCCCAGTACTGCTTTTCTCTGTGCTGCTGGAACATCTGTCCCTGTTTGTTGCCTCTGTTGGCTCCGTGTGCTGGGGTCTCTCCGTATCTCCAGGTCTCTCCCCCGCTGCCTGTCTCTGTCTTGCCCCTCTCTGAGCCTCCCTGTCCCTGTCAGAGGAGAGGAAAGCAGGAAACCCAGCCAGCCCTGACCATTCATCTGTGGGGCCTGGGACCAGCCGAACAGAGGATGAACGGGGCGGAAGGGCGGCGGCTGGGGGCCTTGGAGGCCACAGCTGTGAGGCTGGACCAGAGACTGAATGGGGGCCTCCCCCTGACCAGAGGCCCAGTGTCCAAAGCTCAAGCCATAGAGCCCCCCCAATCCACCAGCCCTAGCCATTGAGCCCCCCTCCATCCTCCCTTCCAAAAACCTGGAGCTTCCAGGAAACATGCCAAGCCCCTCTCTCTGCACCCCACCCCCCAGCAGAGGCTCTGCGTCCAGCTGCCTGAGGAGGAGGCTGAAAACTGACCGATGGGGAGGGGGTGTGGCCATCATGGTCCCAGCAGCAACACATCAACACTGACCAACAGCAGCTCAGAACTAACATGGACCCAGGATGGTCCTTTAATCCTGGGGGGCAGGTACAGTCACAAGATGAGGAAACAGCGACCCAACAGCATAACAAATATAATAGCAGCGGGATAACACTTCACAGAGGACATGGAAACACAACCCAAGGACAATGACAAACCAAAGATGTAAGGGCAGGACAGGAATGAAAAAACAACAGCACAATGACAGAAGACAACCACAGGCCACAAGACAGAGGAAGAGGGAGCAACATGACATGACAATCACACAGTGTCACACTGCTACAATAACACAACAATGGCAATGCACACAGCCAAGCAACAGCTCCAAAGATGGCAGTGATTTAATGCTTTGTCTCTGGACAGCTCTCCTCCCACCCCATGGGTGTCCCTACTGATATGCTGTCCATTTCAGAAATTAAATCAAGCAGCAGGGGAAGGATGAGGATCTTGGCCCTGATGCGGTGACAAATGCTCCAAAGGAATCAGCTGTGAAAAGGTTGTTAGAAGCCAGGATGAGAGACAGAGACAGGATGAGGTCATGGACACAGAAAACACAGAGGGACAGAGCTGAGGGCTCCCTCACACCTGCGCACACAGACTCACATGGGGACCACATGCCGGAAACAGTCCCCCCGGGTGTCCTAAGCAACTTCACATCGCCACACACACAGGTTGAGGACAATCACCACAAAGAAGGACACACAGGACAACAGTCCACAAGGTCACAGCCACACAGGGACACTGTCCCACTTCAGAGATGGTAACACCTGATACAAGATCACATGCATGCATAGGAAGGGCCCTGTCACCCAGAGGCACAGTTATATATGGGGATATGGTCTCATACACGGGGAGACAGTTTAACAGGGGCACAAACACACAGACAGAAACAGAAACTGTCACACATGGGGTACAGTCTCAACCACAAGGACACGGTTCCACAAAGGGCATGGTCACACACAGAGAGACAATATCACACCGAGGCACAGCCCACAAGGATGCAACCACACAGAGAAACAGAAACAGCGAGGGACATGGTCTCATCCATACAAGAACACTGCACAAGGACAGTCTCACACAGTCGCAGAGATATGGCCTTGGTCACACGTGGTTCTGCTTTACACACAGGGCAGGGACCAGGCCAAAGCTAGAGACCACTGCAGGCCTCTGCAAGTCAGGTCTGCAGAGGAGCCAGGGCAGGCTAACTGCAGACGGGAGGTCGATGGGCTGGCCTAGAAGTGGTTCCTTTGGTCCCTGACTATTGGGGAGCAGCCCTGGGGCAGGCCAGGCTCTCTGGGTCTCAGTGTTGGACATACAAGGAAGAGGCCACAGTAGCCTCTACCTATTGCCTTCCTTGAACCCACAGCCTTGAGGGTGGCAGAGCTCAGTCTTCAGGGTCTGCTCCATGCCTGGGCCTCAGAGATGCCCCCACCTTCTCTGCCTCTACTCAAGCCAGCTGAGGTGAGGGCAGGTGGTGCAGAACACATCCAAAAGGGGAGTTCCCTACACTTGGAGCCTTGTTTGAAGAGTTTCAAGGTCAGCCCCTGTATTGATGTGGCTGAGGTGCTGCCTCAAATGCAATGGAAGGGCTGGTGGTCAAGTTAAGAGGGCACCTGTTTCCCAGCAGGGGTGCAGCTCCTTGCGCTGTAGGCTAAGGGGAGAACTCAGCCCTCACTGGACATTGGTAGGGGGAGGGCAGGAGGCTGCTAATTTCACTGCCTGAGTAATACCTGCCTCCTATAGCCATTCCATTCCAGCTGACTAACTGACCAATGCCCTCCCTTAGTGCCAGCCCTCTCCCACTTGCCACCCTGCCCATTCCCCCATCTTGTCCTCAGTCTACCATCTCTGCCCCCATATTCCCTCCAGGATAAGGGAAAGCATTCTTGCCCACTGCCTCTCTCAGTGCCACCCACTGCACACCCCCAAAGACCCTAAGAGACCCCATTTCACCAGATAATGTACAGGGGCCCTGGCCCTAGCTGCCCCCAACTCCCATCCCACCTGTCTGTACCCTACATCCATCCTAGTGGGAAGAGGGACAGATCATCTAAAGCCAGAGATACCATCAGCATGAGATCACCCAGGAGGGACTGAAGGACCATGCCTATGAGACAACATCAGTGGGTCACCCTGCATATCAGTCATATAACTCATGTCCTTCTGGGTGCTCATGGATGATTATGCCCAGCATGTGCCAGTGTGTGGCTCTCAGGTGAGTGCATACAGCTATGCCAAGGAAGGTTCATCCTCAGCTCTGGGAGAGGGTGGGCAGGGAATGCTTCCTCCCCCCCCCCCCCCC